TTTTGAGTTACTTTTCTTAGGAGCAGGTCTCCTACTTTGAAATAATGGAGGTTGGCTTTTCGATTATAATACCGCTCCATTTTCTGCTTTTAGGTTGCCATTCTTATATAAGCCAAGTCCCTGCGCTCATCTAGTAGCTCCAAGTTGACTGACATTGCTTTGTTGTTTGATTCTTCTTCTGCTTGGAAATATCTCAAGGTGGATTCCCTTACTTCTACTAGGATTAAAGCTTCTGCACCGTACACAAGGGAAAATGGCATTTCTCCTGTGCTCGATTTGGCTGTTGTTCGGTATGCCCATAGAACTCCAGATAATTCCTCGGGCCAATTACCTTTTGCTGCCTCCAACCTTTTCTTGAGGTTTTTAATAATTACTTTGTTCGTTGACTCCGCTTGACCGTTTGAGCTCGGATGATAGGGTGTAGATGTGATCCTTTTTATTTTAAATCTTCGAGGAACTTTGTAACTATTGCACCGATAAATTGAGGACCATTATCGCATGCTATCTCTTTTTGTATTCCGAACATGCAAATTATATTTTCCCTCAAGACATCCACTACTTCACACTCGCCGTTCTGATAAGGACTTGCTTTCACCCACTTAGAAAAATAGTCAGTCAAAATTAAAAGAAATCTTACCTTTCCGGGAGCCGGCGGTAGTGGTCCGACGATGTACATCCCCTATTTCATGAACGCCCATGGGTACATAATCGAATGTAAGGGTTCTGCCGGTAGATACACCAGCGGTGCGTAATGTTGGCACTTATCACATTTTTGTACTAAGTCTTTGGCATGTTGTTCTATGCGAGGCCAATAATATCATTCCCTTACCAACTTTAACACTAAGGAACCTGTGCCCAAATGGTTGTCGCATATCCCTTCGTGAACCTCTTTCATGACATAGTTAGCTTCGGATGCCCCTACGCATCGGGCCAGCAGGACTTGAAAATTTTTTCTATACAATTGACCTCTCTTAAAGCTATATTGCGTTGCTTTGGCTCACAACGCACGAGATTCTTTGGGGTCTTTGGGTAGCTTTCCGTGCTCGAGATAATCGATCATTTCATTTCTCTAGTCCCAGACCAAATTAGTCGCATTTGTCTCATAGTAACCATCTGTATCCAGGACTGAGTTCATCAGTTGTACTACCATCCCGGATTTCGATCCCTTTATTCCCGTTGATGATCCAAGGTTAGCCAACGCGTTTGCTTCTGCGTTTTCTTCCTTCGGGATATGAGTAATCGACCACTCCCGAAATAACGCCAACAAAGCCTATATCTTTACCACATATTGTTGTATGCGCTCCTCTTTGGTTTCAAAGATCCCGTAGACCTGATTTACCACCAGTTATGAGTCGCATTTGATTTCGATGACCTCAGAGTCAAAGTATTCGGGCCAATTCGAGCCCTGCAATCAAAGCTTCATACTCTGCTTAATTGTTAGTTAAAGAGACCATTGTACTGGATTGTCTTAGGGTTTTCCCCGAAGGTGTGATTAAGACTATACCAAGACTGGACCCTTTTATGTTGGAAGCTTCATACGTAAGTAAGGTCCAAACCCCTAATGTTGATTCTGACACCATTACTGCCTCCTTGGTTGCTAGAGGCAGTAATCCTGGACTGAAATCGGCCACGAAGTCAGCCAAGACTTGCGACTTAATTTCAATCCTTGGTTTTATATTTTGTGTTGAACTCACTCATTTCGTTGGCCCATTTGGACAATCTACCCAAAAGCTCAAGTTTATGGAAGATGTTCCGCAAAGGGAAAGTGTAAACCACGACTTTTGGGTGGCATTGGAAGTAGGGCCTCAACTTCCGAGCGGCGACTGCGAGAGCTAAGGACAATTTTTCCAAATATGGGTAATGATTTTATGCTCCCATTAAAATTTTACTAACATAATAAGTGGGAGATTACGTACCTTTGTCCTCACGGACTAAAACCGCACTTACCGCGACTTCCGAGACCGCGAGGTAGACTAACAACATTTCACCTTCTTTTGGTTTTGAAAGCAATGAAGGGCTTGGCAAGTACTTTTTCAAATCCCTCAAAGTCTGTTGGCACTCCGGGGTCCATTCGAAATTATTTTTCTTTTTGAGCAGTGCAAACAAACGATGACATTTTTTTGATGACCGGGAAATAAACTTGCTCAAAACTGCCAATCTCCTGTGAGCCTATGGACTTCCTTCACATTTGACAGTTGGTCCGGGATGTCTTCTATGGCCTTAATCTTATCGGAGTTTACCTCAATTCCCCTTTTACTATACCATAAATCTCAAAAACTTATCAGAGCTGACCTCGAACACGCATTTCTCGGGGTTAAATTTCATATTATGCTTCCTTAAGATGTCAAAAGTTTCTTACAGATGCTTAAGGTGATCACCTGCATTCAAAGACTTAACGAGCATATTGTCTATATAAAATTCCATAGTTTTCCCTATTTTATTTTCAGACATCTTGTTCACGAGCCGTTGATTATTGGCTTTGGCTTTTTTTAACCCGAACGACAACATATTGTAGCAATATGTACCGAAATTTGTTATAAATGAAGTTTTTTCCTGATCCTTCCGAGTTCATCTTAATTTGGTTGTACCCGGAATAAGCATGGAGGAAACTCATTAACTCGTTCTCGGCTGTGGCATCAATCATTTTATCAATGTTTAGCAGTGGGAACGAGTCCTTAGGGCATGCCTTATTAAGATCTTTATAATCTACACACATGCAAAAATTATTCTTCTTCTTAGGAACTACTACTACATTGGCTAACCAGTTTGGATATTTTACCTCTCGGATAACTAATATTAAGTAAGTGGGTTACCTCTTCTTTGACGAATTTATTCCTGGCTTCGACAATAGGGCGTTTCTTTTGTCTTACCGGAGGTATGGTGGGATCCAAGCTTAACTTGTGTACGACTACCTCTGTCGGGATACCTGTCATATCCTCATGCGACCATGCAAAACAATCGGCATTAGATTTAAGGAATTTAATAAAGTCAGACCTGAGCTCCGGGTGTAGTCCTGTCCCCAAGTGGAACTTCCTTTCTAGGAATTCTTCGAACAATGCAACTTGCTCAATTTCTTATGTTGTGGATTTCGTTGCATTCGTCTCTTATGGAACCTGAAAATATCTCGACACCTGATAATATTCCGACGCCTATGCCCCCGGGCTAACTTCTTCTAGTTCGGGAGCAAGTGCTGGTTCCTGTAATTGCTATGTCGCACATTCCTTTCCTTTGCCACTGGAGACCGAAATTGCATTCATCTCCCTTGACGCCGGTTGGTCACCCTTTATCCGCTTAATTCCTTCAGGTGTTGGAAACTTCAACAATTGATGATATGTTGATGATACAACTTTCATCTCGTGCAACCATGGCCTTCCCACCATCTACCACTTCGAAGAGAGTTATTTTCATTACTTCTTCGGCATTTGTGAGAAATAAAATTTCTCATTGGGTTGTCACGCTCGTGAGGTTGAATCCGGCGAGGAGCTTTGTGGCCGGAATAATGCTTCCGATGAGTTTAGCGTGCTCTAATACTCTCCATTGTATGATATTAGCTGAACTTCCTGGATCCACTAGAACACGTTTAATCTTAACATCTAGCACATTTAAAGAAATTACCAGTGCGACATTATGTGTTAGCAGCAATCCATCAGCGTCTTCCTCCGTAAGAGTGATATCGTCTTCCCGAAGCCTTTTGCTATGAGTTATTAATACTTTCGTCTTTTTTGCTGCCGAAAAGGTGACCCCGTTGATCTCGTTTTCTCTAAAGATCATATTGTTCGTTTGGCACGGGGGATCTTCTCCTTATTTCGAGGGTTCCGCATCATCCCAGTTACGACCATAATTGTTCTTAGCTAGGTTACTCAAGAATTTTCCGAGGTGACCATTCTTCAATAATGTTGCCACTTCTTCCCTGAGGTGTCGACAGCCCCCTGTCCGGTGGCCATTCGTCCCATGGTATTCACACGATAAGTTGGGATCCCTTTGGCTGGGATAACATCTCATTGGTTTTGGGAATCGTGCTTCTTTGATGTTTTTCATAGCTGACACTAACTCCACTGTACTAATGTTGAAGTTGTATTCCAATAACTTGGGGTAAGAAGGATCCCATGATCCTCACGCTTCTTTATCTTGCAGTGATCTATTATTCCGACCGCGATCAATCCTTCTGTCCACGATGAACTTGTCCACTGTCCGGAAGCCTCTGCTGTGACTTTCGGTCTGTTCGTAGGGCAAAAACCGGCCCCTCGAAGTCCGTCCGTCCATGTCGTAATCATCTTTTGATTTTTCTCTGTTCTTCTCCCGTCCTTTGGCCGATGATGGAAAACCAACCTGATCATCTTCGATCTTTATCTTTGATTCGTACCAGTTGTGGATATCTGCCCAAGTCGTTGCTTGAAACTCAAGTAGGCTTTCCTTTAGTTTCCGGGAAACGTCTGAACTTCTCGTATTCAATCCCTTGGTGAATGCTTCAGCAACCCATTCATCCGGGATAGTTGGGAGCAACATTCTCTCCTTCTGGAAACGGGTAACGAATTCTCGTAGTAACTCGGGCTCTTCTTGCGCAATCCTGAATATGTTAGTCTTTCGGGCCTGCACTTTTCTGGCCCCGGCATGAGCCTTGATGAAAGAGTCCGCGAGCATCTCAAAGGAGTCTATGGAATGCTCGTTTAACAGTGAATACCGCATCAAGGCTCCCCTCATGAGAGTTTCTCCAAATTTCTTCAGCAAAACAGATTCAATTTCGTGAGGATCTAAATCATTTCCCTTCACCGCCATTGTGTAAGTGGTAACGTGCTCCTAAGGGTCTGAAGTTCCGTCATACTTGGCACATCGGGCATTTTGAACCGCTTCGGGATTAATTCTGGTACCGCACATGACTTGTATGACAATTGAGTATAATTCTTTGAGTTTGGCCTTTCACATAATATTTTATGTGAACAACAAGTTAGATTTATTTTATTAAAATTGTTTTAGTACGTTTTTATACTCCATCTAATTTTAGTAACCAAATAAAAAGGAACTCGAGACCATCCCAAGATCTCATTCCGTTACCTTTAGTCCGTTCACTCCCATTGTTCCTCCGGAGATCGGACGATTCCCGCCGTCCGATCTCAGCTCATTTTCAGATCCGTATCCGCAATTTGCTGTAAGTTTCTTTTATTCTGTTTAAATCATTTTTCTGTCCAATTATGTTGATTTGTCAATGAATTTTATATGTGAAAAATTACTGTATTCATATAATTCTGATATGCTTGACGATTTTCCCAAATGGATTGATGCGAAAATCAGCATTTTTGATAACCCTTTTTTTTTTTTTTGTTGTATTTTTTTTTGGTAAAATTGTGTATTTTTTCAATGCAATTTATGATAGAAAATAATCGAAATGAGAGATTACTAAATTGTAGATTTTACCTAAATGATCTGCTGCATGTAATTGTTAGTTGAGATTCACACATGTATAGGTTTTTAGAGTATACAAGATTTGTGGCGGAATTATTCAGTTAGCTAAGAGACATTTGTGGGTTCTTTTTTCCAGCAATACTGATGAAGCTGAGATTAATTAAATTGTCATTTATAAAGTTATGTTGCTTGGTTCATATAGTTCTCTTTGTTTTGTTTGATCTTGCTAAAAATCCAGTCTTTTGATTGTTTTCAGTTGCCAGCATTATTTTTTTGGTTGTTAATTCCAGTGATTTGGTACATTTTATAGCATTAAGTTTGACAGATCTTAATATCTCACCTATTTTTGATTGATCTTTAACTGATTCTTTTCTTTAGAAACGGAATATCATGCTTTGATTAACTTGTGTATGCACCTGACTGTGTTTTTATGATGTAAGCTATTGACGTAAATTCTCATTTCAAGTTGAGTTTTCCTAGCATCTGATTTTCAGTTCTTGTTTTGCACTGTATTGGGGAATTTTGTTTTGAATTGTTATTTTAAGGTTTATTTAAAATATAGTACATTATGCGCTGAAATATATTTATATATACACAATAATTAGTAAGTTTTGAAAACTTAACAACTTAAATTTTAGGTTACTATTTGTGTTACTTTCTAATCAATTAAGCAAACATTGTTCATTAGAAAAAATCCAATTTTTAACCAAATTCAGTTCCATAATTGGTTGTAAAAATTGATGGATAACTGGTTAGCGGGATTTCCTATAAGCTGCTCCCGCTCAAGCAAAGGGTTGGCTCAGCTCTTGATAAACAACAGCCCACCCTTTACCCCAAAAATTTTCACTCTCTTTATGAGGAACAGAATTCATTATTCTTTACTATCATCAAACTCTGGTTCTATATTTCGATTTCATAACGCGTAATGTATGATGTTATGTGCTCTGCTATACCTGTAACTGATTTCTTTGGTGCTGTCCAAACAGACAAGTTTGCTTGAGATCAAAATTAAGCTGCTATGGGATCTGATGGTCAAAATTGGTATTTCGATTTAACCTATGACCAATGGACTCCTCTGTCTGTCTCTGGTCCGAGACCAGCTGCACGCTACAAGGTTTCCCTACTTCTATGTTTTATATTAACCTACATGATCACATTGTGCAAGATCTTGTATTGGTTATGCCATTTTTGACTTCTTTGTTTCTTCCATTGAAGCTTTATAACAGTGTTGTCATGCATATTCTGATTCTTTTCTTTATCCCAATATGGTACTTTTATTTCGTGGGTCTTCTGATTATATCTTGGGCTGTTACTTCTTATACGACTTTCTTATTGCACTGTAGCATGCAGCTGCTACAGTTGATGGAAAATTATACATCATTGGTGGAAGTCGTAATGGACGATACCTGTCTGACATTCAGGTATTTGGTCGATCTTATGATCAATTTTTCTTGTTTGACAATTCCAAGTATTTTTCCAGTTTTATAACAGTTTTTGATTTCACGTACACTGATGTTCTTTTCTTTCTTTATTTAATTCCATTCCAAAGGTTCTTGATCTAAAGAGTTTGACATGGTCCGTTATAAAGTTGAATTCTGGAGTTCTTCCAGCTACCTCTGGCCACAATATGGTGAGAATTGACCTAATATTATTATGTTTCACCTGTTAATTGCTTTATTTGCTGTATCTGCTTTTTTTTTTCTCCTTCAATTTTATATGTTTGTTTAGTCAGGTAATTTCCATTTCACTCGCTCTAGCTAATAACCAATGATGTATGATTTCTCTTCTCTTCTTGTTCCGGTGCTGCTCTTTGACATTGTTGGCAGATTAAGTGGGAAAATAAACTTCTATTTCTTGCTGGTCACTCAAAGGATGTTTCTGATACAGTAACAGGTTTGTTGTCCTTTGGAGCCTTTTAAAACTAGGAACCGATGCTTATTCATCTTAAATTCAAATCTTCTTGGTGTATCTTTTGCAGTTCGGTTCATCGATCTTCAATCATATGAATGTGGTGTCATAGAGACCTTTGGAAAACTTCCGGTAAGTAACCATCCTCCTCTAAGGTTTCACTCTTTCCCTTTCATAGCCTTCTTTTTGGGCAATTCTAGAACTTTTTGGAACTACACGAGTCTCGCTCTCACTTCATGGTGTATCTGCTGGTCACCTTACTACTGATTGCCGTTATGTTGCTTCTTTCTAGTTGAGAGCTGTAATGTTGCTTCTTGTCTATTGTGTCTTCCAGGTAGCCCGAGGTGGGCAATCTGTTACCATTTTTGGATCTAAACTCATAATGTTTGGTGGAGAAGACCGGAATAGGTTTCTGCTAAATGATGTTAATGTTCTTGATCTAGAGACAATGACTTGGAGTACTGTTGAGACCACGTAAGTATCTGACTAAATTTATTTCTTCACTAATTATGTGTCTGCATTAATTCATTGTGCTTTGATAGGCAGACATCCCCAGCTCCCAGATTCGATCATACAGCTGCACTCCATGCCGATCGCTACCTTCTGATTCTGGGTGGATGTTCTCATTCAGTATTTTTCAACGATCTTCATGTCCTTGACTTGGAAACGGTATAGTTTACCTGTTTGGATGCAGCCATTTTAGTACTCACGATGCAGCCATTTTGTCCTTTGAATGATCTCCAATAAAAGTACTATTAATAATTGTAGTCAGTTGGATTGTAAAATTAAGAAAACCTCCTCTTCATTGGCAGATGGAATGGTCGCGACCACAACTTCAGGGGGATCTGGTTAGTCCAAGAGCTGGTCATGCTGGTGTTACTCTAGGTGACAACTGGTATATCGTTGGTGGTGGAGATAACAGAAGCGGTAAGTAAAACATTTAAGCAGCCTCTTCAATCATACCCTCTGTGCATTCTGACTTATGATGCACAGATCTTTTTATTTCTATTTTTATGTTTAAATGTTATTCTTTTTGCAGGTGTGCCAGAAACTCTTGTGTTAAATATGTCGAAGCTTGTAGTTTCAGTATTAGCAACTGTAAAGGGGAGAGATCCGCTCGCAAGTGAGGTTATCATCTGCTAACTATCTCCCCCAGCGTTATATTTTCTGCAATGGACCTTCTTCCTGGAAATTAGATATCCCCTTTTTTAAGGAAGAATATCTTTCCCTTAACGCAGTGGTATCTGTTGGACTGACATCATGTTGGTATATCTAAGGTTTCTTTACTGAAAACTTCTAGTAACCTTAGATATGGCAATTTTGGGGGGGGNAATTTTTTTTCCAAAAAAATTAACGATAACCTATGACCTTCTTTTCTCTTTTTCTCGGTAGTTCCAGCTATGTCAATAATGTATTCCATGTGCTACTGTATGTCTACTCCTAATCTTGTTAGAAAATATCTTTTAGCATATTACTCCATAACAAAGTAGTAATTTGATTAGTGAGTTAATTATAATAATCAATTTTAAATATATCTTCTTAAAACTAGTATGCTACATTAGATAAATTTGTCAAAGAGCGCTAGTCAGATATGGTCCTTATAGAACAGTTTAAGAAAATTAAGGAAAACAAAAAAGAAGAAAATGAGCTTGAATTATTGGTAATATCTGAATATGTTCAGATTTATAGCTAGAATATATTGTATGACCCACACCTTTAAGTTTAAAGGAGCAAGAAAAGAGGAGATTAATGAACTAACAAAATTTAAAATAAAAATAAAATATAAAGACGAGCAAGGGAAAATTTATAAAACAGATTACAATTGAGAAAGCAGATAACATCTTTACGAAAACATTTGAATCTTCTTCGACGAAAAGCATCAAATGCGCGATGCAGGTATTAAACAAATGCATAACCCGCAACCGTAGTTAAATTAAAAAAAAATACTTGAACCAGCCCCGCCCCCGCCCTGCACCGCATAAACTTAAACCCGCCCCGCCCCGCACCCGTCCCGCTTCGTTTGCCATCCCTAAGTAACCTGCCACGCCTCGCACCTGGGCCTGGACGTAATACGGTACCCGGTGCCTGACTACATGCGACCGAGTGAACCAACTGACTAGCTGAATCAACATCTGATATCATAACATACTGAATGCGGAAGATAAGCTAACACATGCTGATATGCTGAAAGTCTGAATGATATAAATTAAAATGCGAAAGCACTAATATAAGTTTGAAAACATATTTGTAGCCAACATTGCTTAACATGAAAAGCCTGTGACTGTCTAATTATTACTCTAGTCTATGAAGTAGTGTTATCAAAGGCGAAAAGCGCAAATAAAACGTGGGCTTTAATGAAAAAAGGCGCAACGGGAGAAAAAGTAAAAATATGCATGTAGTCCAAGACTAATCATTATATGCATGAATAACAAATATATGGGCAAAAAAATTGAAAAACAATTCACGATAAAGTGAAATATCAATTGTTTAAGGTCGCATGTTCAGGATTACACTCATTGACAATGAAAAGTATGCCTTAGAGTTTTGATGCGACACTAAAGCACCCACAAAGCGAGGCGAAGCGCTCAATGTGTTTTGAGTCTCGCTTCAGGGCTTAAGCGCGCCTTTGACAACACTGTTATGAAGCCTCTGATGAAGTACTGAAAACACTGACCTGTTTGTAAATACGTAAAGACTGTAAAGTAATGATAATGCCCCGAAAGAACTGGGGCCCACCAAATAGCTGGTAGGAGAATCCTAGCGCTCTGAATCGTCAACCTGTAAATCATTACCTGTATCGTGAGATGCAAGTCCCGGGCGAAAGGGACGTCAGTACATTTGAATTGCACTAGTATGTAAAACAGCTGAAAGAGAACTGTAAATGCTGAAACTGAAACTGAGCTGATAACTGAGAACTGATAACCGATAGCTGAAATGATATTTGTTGAAACTGAAACTGAAATGATAACTGATGAAATGGCAACTATAACTGATAATTGATAACTGAACAAAGGAAGTAAGGATATGGATACTCCCTCTTCTGAATGATGAACTACCTGTTTATCTAAATAAACTACGGCCTCAGGCACAATATATATATGCACAAGCTACTGCCTCGGGCCCAAGTATACGTATACATAACTACGGCCTCAGGCCCAAAGATGCATAAAGCATAAACTAAGACCTCAGGCCCAAACATGCATAAACTACGGCCTCAGGCCCAAATACAAGTGTTCAACATTCAGGGATTTAAAATTAGGATCTGAGTGTAATACATGATATTGAAATACTGAATCATACCGAGTTACATGATACTGGAATGCGGAATAGAACTAGACTGAGATATGTATTCATGAACTGATTATGAGAACTGAAGCTTCAACTGTTTATGACATGATGAGTAATCTAGACCGAGACTCATGGGCATCAAACACAACTCTATATTGATTACGCACTGAGCTCACAACGCTAGGAATAAAAGTCATGAACGAATTACGAAGCTAGAGAATAGAAGCCCTGCAACTATTCAAGGAACTAAGCTTTTCTAAGGCAATTAGTAATGTTGTAGAAGAAACGTTGTGTAGGGAGAATCCTTAACAGTCCCACACATAGAGAGTTAGCCTCACACACCTTAACTTCTCGCTCTTGAGCGTAATACAACATTCGCCAACTGTTTCAACTTTAATCTATAGCAATACAAGTCAAAAGGATCCCATATTAGCAATAATACTCATGTTTTGGTCACTTGGTGGGCATAAAGCTCCATAGCCCTTATTAATAGTGTTTCTACGGCCAACAACCCATTCGCTTGCTCTATGTTGATAATTCTAAAATCTCAAATTGTTATAATCAATATCATTCTTCATCACCCATAATATAGACAACACCCTTAATCAATATTCAGCAATCAACAACCCAAACCAATAATCGTTCATGCTTTTCTATCAAACCCATCAACTCATATCTCATGAACTTAGAGTCTACAATCACGAATCCAATGCTATAATCATTTAGAGGTGAAGATATTACTTTTTTTGACGTTCAATCCTCGTGAATTCGATTTCTAGGGTTTCTTTTCCCACCAATGATGTCTCAATCGAATATCTAATGATTTGGAGGGTTTACCCATGTTAATAAGGTGTTTGAGAATTAGAATTAACTTAGAATCATCATTGGAACTTACCTTGGATGTTGGAGGGACCTTGGAGGAAGTTATGTTCTTGAGAGCTTCCCTTTCTAGATCAAGTTTTCGTGTTTTGGGGTGTGGAGGACGAAGTAGGGCTTTTAAAACGACCCCCGGGGTACGCTCCCACGCAGCTGAAGGCCCAAACGCGTAGCAAGGGCAGTAGCATTGCCACAAGTGCGCTGCCGCGGGTGCGCACCTTGGCGCGCATACTGCGCATTGTTCAGTAAAACGCGCATAACTTTTTGCACAAAGATCCGTTAGGACTCCACAATATATCATTGGAAAGGTATTTCAAAGAGCTACAACTTTGATGTTTTAAGTTTTCCCAACTTCTCAGCATATTTTTACTAAATCCTGCTAGAAGACAGACCTTACATAAACTTAGTCGATTTTATCGAATCTTATGCACCTCACTCTCCGTCTTGATTCCAAAACAACTATTTCCACCCATACTCATCCCGATAGGATTTCACATGTCTAAACTATCAAATTAATACTCATTTAACACATCCACACCTAGTCCGAATTTACGGAGTGTTACATAACCTATCCAAAAAAAGACCTTTTAGTAAGCTATGGGACTATGTCCTTCACTCCTTGGTTAGAATTGTGTCGGGACACAGTTGAGCAGGTATTTGTAATATGTCGACACTGATGAACCAGCTCTACTCTTTCTATTTCAGTGGAGGAAATTATTCTTTCAACAAACTGAAGGAAAAAAATCTGAAATTGTGCCATGAAAAATAGTTAATGCGGAAAGAGAAAAATAATATTGATATGGGGAAATTTTTCACTTTACTTTGCTTCCCAGAATCAAATTGATTTTTCTACCAGTGAATCAAGGCTGTTCCTTCAATTGAAGTTAACTGTACAAATATGTTTAAAATCTCTTTTGTAATCTTAAAAAAATTTAAAGAGAGTGTGGTTGTAGTACACTTATCTAGAACTTGTAGATTTTGAGGAAACACTTGCTTAATTCTTGTAAACTCCATAACCCATAAGGGAAAAAATATTCTGGTAAACTCCATTAGCTTAAGATACTCTGTTCAATATGTTTATTTAGTAGCCATTGCCTAAGACAATATGATTTCCCAGTATTCATAAACTTCGTTGAGGTTGTGTATTTCTTTTTCTAAATTGGTCTTTAGGTTTTGTTGACGATTCTGTCTGATATGGCATTTGAAACAGGGACTGAGTGTGTCTTCAGCATTACTTGATGGTGAGAAATTCTTGGTTGCTTTTGGTGGCTACAATGGGAAGTACAATAACGAGGTATCTGCTAAATCCTTGATATTCGCTTTTCTTCAACAGCCTTAGAGTTTCTTGTGGGGAGATAAATGGATTACAGAAGCATTGGGTCATGTCTTCCTCTTTTGCTTCTCCATACATTTGATAAGCACCAAATCCAATTCATTGTCTCATATAACTATTACTTGACTGGGAAGGAGGGATTATTCATCATATGTTCGTTAGTTCTAGTCTGAGAGGAAATGGTATTAAGACTAAACGGTTTTGTGCTACGAAGCCTTCTTTCCTAAATTACTGCATTTCATTTGGCCTAGGTATATGTTATGAGGCCTAAACCAAGGGATGTATTACATCCCAAGATACTTCAGTCACCAGCGGCCGAAGCAGCAGCAGCTTCTGTTAGAGCTGCATATGCCTTAACTAAACCTGAAAAGTTGGATTTATCTGAAAGAGAAGATTCCAATTTTAAGGAAGTCCATGTTGATAACACTCAGCAAAAGCTTTCAGCCGAAATTAGTGCAATTGGACAACAAAAAAAGGCGTTGGAGTCATTGCTTGCAGACGTCCAAGCAGAAAATGCTAATCTCAAGGCCAAGATTGAAGAAGTCAATAACACTCATGCTGACTTGTCCAAGGTACTCTCATTAGAGTGATATGCTCTATAGGAATTGATAATCACGTACTTATCAATTCTTTACGTTCATTGCTTCATTACAGGAGCTTCAGTCAGTTCAAGGTCAACTTATATCTGAGAGATCAACATGTGCTAAACTGGAGGTTATACTTCTGACACTTCTTTCCTTTCTGAACTTAAAGTCTAATTCTCCCCTCCGTATCCTCTATCAGTGTTGTCAAAGGCTCATTTAAGGCGCGCTTAAGCCCTGAAGCTTACACAAGCTCAGGGAGGGCGCTTCGCGTCACTTAAGCTGCGCTTCAGTGTAGGCAAGGCACCAAGACATGCCCCTTATTGCCCATGAGTTCTATCTTGAATAGAGCAATGCTAGACTACAAATATAATCGGCAAATAAGTATATTAGCTGTTAAGAAAACAATATAAATGAATTTGTTACTTTTCTCTTGAATTACATGTATATTTTTATTTTTTTTCTTGCATTGCGCCTTTTTAAACTAAAACCCACACTTAAATTGCGCTTTGAGCTTAAAGCCCCAATTGACCTACAGTGCTTTTTAGAGCTTTTCACCTTTGACAATACTGTCCTATATCAGTGCAATCAAATCAAATATGTCTCAATTCAAAACATGAGCTTTTATATCATCCTCAGGCACAAATAACGGAGCTACAAAAGATGCTCGAATCCATGCAGTCTATAGAGGAGGAAGTTCAAGCTCTACGAAAAGAGAAATCTGAATTGGAACGTGACATGGAGCGTGCTGCATCTGTCCAGAAACAGGGCTCGGGCGGTGCTTGGAAGTGGATTACTGGATGAGCATGAAAATCAATTTGCGCATTTGCAACCTCAGTTTTTTTCCCCATTACTGCCAGTTTGCAAATCTTGTAATGCTGTTTTGTTAGAGGAAGTGCGACTTTGGAATTTTTGTTGAACATATATGGTTGTGTGAAGATTAGGAAATGATTGAAAAAACACATGTAGCATGCTTTTCACTTGCTTTCTTTATGTCATCTGTGGCACTAGCATTTTGTAATCGCAACTTTTAATTGTAGCAAATTCATTGTTTTTCAGTGTCATATATACCTCATTCATTTGTAAACTCTGTATGCTGTTCAGTATTATAAAGTTAGTAACATTGACCTCGGATTCTTAAGGACGTATAACAGTATTTTTACAAAATTGGTCAAGAATAGGAATTTCCAAATTGCTGTACAAGCCCATCATCTAGCTTTACCAATTAGATGTAAAAAGAAAGTTTTAAAAGACAGTAAACTACTTATATATTACCAAAGTAAACTACTTATATATTACCAAAGCTTTACGAATTAGATGTAAAAAGACGTAATCTACTTATATATTACCAAAGTAACTTGAAAGTTTTATATTTCAATTAGAACTATAGTAGGATAAAACTGTCTATTTAAAATCAGTATCTTAAAAGGTGTGGGTGAAAGATTAGGCGTTTTATCTAACACGAAGCGAGGTGTAAGCCCCAAGGTGTAAGCCCCATGGGTGTTTTATTTTTATATTTTATAAATTTATAAAATCATTATATAAATCAGAAAAATACACTAAAATTGTGAAAAGTTAAAGAAAATTATAGAATTAATATATATATATATATATAAGTGTGTGTGTGTGTGTGTATGCGCATGCGCGCGCGACCATGCAACTTTTTTTACTTGAAAAAATAAAAGGCGTAAAGATACATTATACCTATGTCATCAAAACAATATAAAAACTA